GACAATTTACAGTGTTTAGTACATAATTAAATGTTAGATACAAAAAATAACAGTAGGATAAATACAAACTGACGTGGCCCTGTTACAATACGATGAAAAATCTTGAATACATTTTCTAACTTTCAATTAAAATTAATAATTAAAATTATTGAGTATTAAGATGCAGTGTATTAAGTTTTTAGTTTATCTATGTTGTTAGTTTCAAAGTAGTTTCTCAATTTACAATGCCTTTATAGCCTTTGAGTTGAACAAGTGTTATATTTAATTAAATAGAATTATTACAATTTATATGTCTGCAATAAATATGTCAACATGGTACAGTATGGTGCATTTACCATATCCTCTCTGCCTTTAACATTTATATGGGATAGTCTGCATTACATACACTTAATCATCCAAAAATGTTGTTCTACTCACCGTCCAAACATTCTGTGTGCTATTATTCACAGGATCAACTAGCACAGCATGGCTACTGAAAGAAGATTTGTGGTTTTTAGTTACTCTGTCCTGGTTTTCTTCAACACTACTATTGGGCCTCAGATAGGTTACCACAGACTTCCAATTTGTTTTTTCCCTGTCTTTTTTCTTCCTACTGCTTTTCTCTTTTCTAGGCTCTGTGCCCTGTTCACCTTCTGTATTAGATGGATAAAGTAGAGGAATTTTAATTGGACCAGATGATTGTTCTCTGTGAATTGGATCGGAACACTGGTTACGAGTACCTCTGCATTCATGTCTATTTGGAATATTTTCTTTGTTGAGGTATTCTTTTGGGATAACTCCTGGGCCAGCAATTCCAGAAGACTGTTGTCCTTCCCTTGATACCTGATATCCAGGTATTTGAATTTTTGACTGAAGTGACTGTCCACTTGGTCCTTCAAATTTCAAAGTTCCTTGACCAGCATTCGGTGGTATATCTTCAAGATTTAAACATCCTGATATACAACCGTCTGGATCACCTGTACACCCTGTATCACAACCAACTTGACTGTCACATCCATTAGGACATCCAGATGTACCTGGTTGTGGTAACCCATCACAGTCAAAATTAATACAGTCAGTTGCAGGGATTCCTGATGGGCCAAAGGGCTGAACTTGTTGACGGCCAGTCAAAATGGTACCATCACTATCTCCATTACAGACACCTATTTATAAACAAAAATAATGCTTCACAATAACAACAATAATTGTTGATTTGAGTAATAAATAGCCACTGGTACAGATTCATTCTATTCACATTGACAGTTATAATGACTGATGCTCATGGATCAGTACGGCTGGTAGATGGCACTACACATTGACAGTTATAATGACTGATGCTCATGGATCAGTACGGCTGGTAGATGGCACTACACATTTGTAAATATTGTAATTTTCAGAGCTAGTCATGATTAGATAGGGTCATATTTCCAAGAAGTGAAAAAACCTATTTCAATTAAATAAGTAAAAAATATTTATAAAAAGAAAATTAAAATAACAATGAAATAAACAAAAATTATACACATGGTTTTATAAGCGCAATAAGAAATGGGCAATATTAAAGGCAAAAGCCTTTTTGTTTGATGAAGTTACTTTTAAACTTTCTTTTTAAGATTCACTGAGAGTAAATTGAAACATAGCAAGGGCATATAATAATTTGGTTTTATCAAGCATTAAACTAAGATGAGAAAATTTGACTTCGTTAATAATAGGCCTATTAATCAAAATAAAAAATTATTAAATTGTATACCATTTGTAGCATCTTTTATGATAATTGTTTGTCTCTGGTGTTCCCCAATGATAGCATTAACAGGCTCACGCAATATCAATCGAACACGTTCTCGGTTTTCTTCGATGTTGTCCTGAATGATTTCAATTGACCATGCTGCTAAAGTAACACCTGGATCAAACTGAATCATTTTCGTAGGACTTGATATGAAATCTAATCCCGCACTGGCACCAAGCTCATGCACAGAAATTTGAATAAATGATGATGGGGAAATGTATCCACTGCGTATGACGTGAACTGGAAAACTTCCAACAGTCTCACACACTAACACCTCTGCTTGTGCAAACTGAATGATGGCCCACTTGAATTCAAATCTGTATAAAATTTGCACCAAATCCAATCATTAGGATAAAAGATGAAATCAATATCATAACAAATGAAAAAAAAAAATTGTGTGAGTTAATACACAATTTTTGTATTCAATAATGTTTTCTCGAAATATGTTGTTTTACACAAAAAAAATACTGAAAAGTGCTAATACCTCAGATTGGTAGCCTTGTTTCCAGTTTCATCTTGTACATCAAATGTGAAACTATCATTTGTTGCTCTTGTGTGTTCTTTGAGAACATATACAATATTCAGTTCATTAATATCCTGCTGTGAAAATCCATTTGAAATGCTGCGTCTTGTCCTAGTATTTTCTAAATGACCGTAAACAGGTTCAACAACAATGGTATAAGTAACCTCGCTTGGGTTGGATTCTTCATCAACTACTTCAAGATGGCCTGAATTTAAGACATAACCATAAAATCCATTTCTTCTTTCAAGGTTCATAGGAACTTGTAGTGTGGCTACACGAGGAGCAATATCATCAGTACTGATAATTTCTATGGCAAATCTTTGAGGTTGATACAAAACCTGATCATTGATCTTATACCCGATGTTAGTGCCATCAGAAATTATGAAATAAAATTCATCCATACCTGGTCTGCCTCTAATATGTTTGTAAGATATTTCAAGATTGTCTATATCTGCTTGAGTAAAGAAACTCTGTACAGGTAGGTCACCTATCAGAAGCTGTCCATATAAAGGTGGTTGAGTAATGGTATATATAATACTGTTTGCAGGTGAGTCATCGTCACTTGATTGCAGATAATTTCTAGCAATGATTACAGTACCATGGTCTGCTGTTGTCACAGGTTGAAGAAGAACTATTTCAGGAAGCTCATTGTCCACATCTTCAACCACAATATAGAATGTATCATTTTTGGACTGCTGACCATTACTTACCATGAAGTTGAATTGATCATTGAGAACTTGATGTGTTTGTGTGTGCAAGTATATAATGCGCCCTCCAGTCAAGTCAACCTGTGTAAAGGTGGTTATTGGTTTCCCTGGGAGTGAAAGAAATTCAATATTTCCTTCTGTAGGGGGAGTAATGATGGTATATATAATATCCTCCATAAGATTACTTCCATCATTAGCTGACAGCAAATCAATTGAAATGACTACAAAATCTCCTTCTTGAACAAATGCTCCGTTATTTACAATCTCCAGAGTTTGTTTCTTAGTGTTGGTGATCTCGATTCTAAAACCTTCTTTATTAGTTGAAAATTCACCATCAGTTACAAAAAAACGGAAACGGTCAAATCCTTTAGAGCCTAGACTACTGATATGTTGATATCTGACATGGTTGTTATTCAAATCATTTTGAGTAAAATTACCATTTGGTTGAACAACTTTCCAGTTACCATCAACAACATCCAACACCTCTAGATTTCCCCGTCGTGGCACAGAACTTATAATATAATACAACTGATCATCTGGTGTGTCTGCATCATATGCAAGAAGGGCAACACTGGATAGGGTCCGGGTCTCATGCATATCAACAACAATTCCTGTGTTCTTGATTAGAGCTGGATATTGATCATTCACTGGAAAAATATTTATGTAAACCGTCTTTTTTACAACATGCTTTCCATCAGTTACTCGCAAAATAAACTCATCACTTGTACTCTCGGCGCCATCATGAACATATGTTAATTTCAACGTGTTCAAAAGCTGATTCAAATTGAAATCATAGATACGAGAACCCTCTTCAAGGGCTGTCCTTAAATCAGTTTCTTGTCGGTCAATGATTATGCCATGACTAGGGGCTTTTGTGATAGAAAACATCAACATTTCCATTGGAATGTCAGCATCAGTTGCAAAGAAGAATGATGAACTAAGTTTATAGAATGATCCTTCGTACAGAGTGAAATTAGTAATGGTTAATTTTGGAATTTCATCATTTTGGGCAACTATTGTCACTGGAAAAGAAACATTTGCAGAAATCTGTTGACCGTCAGATGCAAAGACCATAAAGAAATCTGTGGTTGGTTCAATACCTTCATGAAGATACTGGACATAGTTGATATTACCCACAGAAATATCCTGCATTGTAAAAGAAGTAATTGCCTTACCAGCATTACTCTTCTCTGAGCCTACATCAGGTAGAACATTTTCTAAGAATCCCCATTGAGAATTTTCAGTAATAAAAAATGTTATATCCTGTGGCACAGTATCACTGTCTACTGCACTAAGGCTGTTGGAATTAATAGTTGCTTTTTGGCCTTCATCTACAAAGTATGGGTTACCAACTACTATAGCTGGTGGTTGGTTGTTAACAGGTGTGATGCTGAAATGGACATCAATCAGAGGGAGTGTTTCAACTGATGGAACAACTTTATCTGATATAACAAATGTAGCACTGTCTTCTACAGCAATTCTTCCAATTTCACCACTGGTATGTTTGTATTTTATCAAGCCATCTCTGATATCCATCTGTGTAAATTTGGAAACAACATTGTCATTTTTCAAGATAACACCTTCAGATGGAGGACTGACAATGATATATTTTAGCAGAAGGTCATGCGTGTCAACATCAGTAGCTGCCAATACATCAGTTGTAAGAGATATTTCCCCTCCCTCTGGTAGTGAGAGATTCTTAACGAGGCCAGGCAAAATCTGAGGAACTCCATCATTAACTGGAGCAATAATCACTAGAAGATCTCTTGTTGCAGTGTGGATTCCATCATTTGCTGTCAGTGTAATGGAATCCCTCAAAGTTTCTGAGCCATCATGAACATACCTGCCAAAACAAATAAGATTTCTCAATGTACAAAGTATTTATTATTCAGTAGGTATGAGGCATAATCATATGATTTTTGTTGAACACTGAAAAAAAATTGCGCATCAGGATTTGATCAGTTGTTAATCATTTTCAAGCTGAAGTAGTGATGAAATTGGCATCGACATACTATTAAACAGCTTGCACAATTAACAATAGTTTCTATCGTATTATTTTAATTTGTTGAATCAATGTTTTACAGCCATTTCGTAAGCAAATTAGATTCATAAAGCACATTTTTAAATATGAATATATATTATAC